GTCTGTGTGTTTGAAGAAATTCATGAAAGCCCATAAATATAAAAATAACTTAGAAGGAAAGGTAGACAGATGAAGACTTTATTTTGATCAGAGCTTGTATTTGACTAGATCCCAATGCCTCACTTGGCATAATAACTGTAAATGTAGGAATAAGAATACGCTTATTTATATTTGTAGTTGTGGGCACTTACAGCATAATCGACACTTGTGTTAAAAGATCTGGCTATTTTCCAGAAGGGACAATCCTGGAGCAAGAAAACCCCTTGGAAGCCACTTTACACAGCTCACTCATTTACAGAGGAGGAGCCCGGGCCAGACAGCTAGAGCGGTCTGCCCCAAGGCCAGAGCCGTGAGTTCAGAGTCTCCCGGCCCCTAGGGAGTGCATCTCCACAGAGGCCTTGAACGACCTGTGGCTCCCCTCCCTCTCCTGCTCTGCACCCTGACAATCGATCAAGGTCCTAGAAAGTTCAACTTTGGTTTCGCCACAACTAGAACGCCCTGTGAGGCCTGGCCCTGAGCTGGGCAGGCTGTGCTGCTCTGCGCCTGGGGCCCCAGACAGGCCCAGATCAGAGAGGTGGTGTGAGGTGTTTAGCTCAGTGCGCGTGGGAGCTCTCTGGAGGGGTTTGCAATGATCCAGGCAGAGGGGGTCTTAAACCCCAAGCCAGAGCTGCCCAGACAGGTTCTCTTGGTCCTATCTGTGTACATTTGCGCATCCTTCCAGACACACCCGGATGGGGCGGGGCCTCCCTGACTGAGTCTGGGGCGTGTGCGACTGCTTGGCTGAGAAAGCAGATTGAGACATTTTCCCAGGTGATGGGACCTTCAGTCGATGCTTAGAAAGCAACTGCCTCCACCCTCCACGCCTCATGCTCAGCCGCGAGATGTGAGGAAATGGTGGCTCCTCGGCTCTCCGGGCTGGACAGCAGGTCTTCGTGCCGTAAGTGGTGGGGACTGACGTCTGTTTCCATGGCTCCCCCAGCCTCTGTACACTAGAGAGCCTCCATACTCTGGGAACAAAAGCAAGGGGAACTTAATAGAAAGAGATCTTTTTATTAAAAAACCATGACTGCAACTGCATTCATTCAACCTTAGAAATGTTGTGATGGCTTTTCAGCATGGCAATATATTTAGATGGGAATATGTCATTAATATAAAGAGCAGAAAAGAAACTATTAAACTAACACAATTTAAAACTGAGCAAACCCGGGTGTTTGATTAAAGTTTTTATACATTCTGTACACTTCAGCAGGTAACGTGGAACCTTAATATTATTGTTGATTTTTAATTTGCTCAAGGTGTGACATCTGAAATGCTAAAATTTCACTAATTTGTATTTGAAATTAGGAGGCAGATCCCCAAGGAGGATTTTCAGTCTGATTTTCTCAACTGTCTTTAGACTTCCCAGAGAAGTCTACAGCAAAACAGTAACTCAACTTAATGTCGGCCCGCGTGAGAGGCAATCTCCTCTTTCTCTGAGCTGTAATGCGGCACTCAATTTGTTGAAGTTGAGTTGAATGTAAATACATATGGTGAATATTAACTTTGAAGATCCGGCCTAATTCCATATATTTTTTAAAGCCTGCATATTTTTCTAGAAGGTTTTCAAATTTTAAAAAGCCCAGTTCCCTGGGTCAAGTATGACACATTGCGTTTTCTTTAAAGGGTAGGTTTATTTTTCCAGGATTGATAATTAGCGGAACATCTTCCCCCAATAACACACGACCATCACCGCAGGCCGGGGGGGCCTCCCCCGCTCGGGCCTGGTGGGGCCCAGGCTCTGCAGGAAATGTGAGTGTCGTACATCTGGCTTGTTCCTCTCAGCAGCCTGTTCCCAGCCCATCCTGGCCCCCCAACGCCATCATCTGGTTTCAGATTTGGGCCCACCCTCCTCACCCAGGCTTTCAAAACTGTCTCCTGCAAAAGACTGGCAGATGCATGGGCTGGTGGGCTGGAGGGCATCATCAGAGCTGTTTCTTACCGAGTTGGAAACCGAGACACTGCCCCCTCGCAGACGGGAGCTCACCGGGCTTGCGGAAATGACTTACTGTAACACGACGGTTTGAATGGCCAAATTACAGCAACTCATTTTCATTCTCATCACAGCCGCTGGAATTCTGATATGCTGACATCCAGAATTATTGCTCTGTCATTTAAAAAAAAAGAATGAGTGGGAATGTTTTGAACATTCCCCTCCAAGATACGAAACAATGATAACACAGTGGGCCCCTCTGATGCGAGGGCAGCCCCGGGGCCAGTGAGCGATGGGTGCCGTTGTGGGAGGGGTCCTTCTTCCCACTCGCGCAAGGCAGTGTGGGCAGCTTCTTCTGAGTGTGAATCATCAAACAAGCCCTCGTCTGGGTGAAATACCTTTAAGACTTCCCCTTAAACTCTTAGAGATCTATCTTGTCTGCTGCAAGGAGCCTCATTTTCATGTTGGAACAGATGGGGCAAAATTGTCATTAACAGAAACTGACAACTCTAAAACTGAAATATAGATTTAGAAAGGAATCTAATGAATTAAATCAATGTTATTGCAGTGAAAGCCAAAGAAATTATTAGTGATTTGTAAAGTTACCCTGTATTTTAACCTCGGTATATTTTAGTCTGGGCCATTTTAGCATTCGCAATACTTTTTCTCTGTCGTGGTTAATGTCTGACTATGCAATACACTCGTCTTAATTTCTCTCCCCTCCTGACACCGCGACTGCAGGACGGCCAGGACCGGCTCTGGACGCTCCCCAGGTCTCGTTGGAGCCGAGGAGCCCCGCACCCCACAAGCGGAGGCCTCGTCGTGACCTTGTGGGGTCTCTTCAAAGACACGCAAGAGTAAGCTCATGGTATTTTTTATTTTTTAATTTTTTTAGTGAGGAGAATCTGATTTTAAAAACAACCCAAAACTCTAAGGCTGTTTTAAGTAATAAATGGGAGGAAAAGCACTTCCAGCTGTCCAATTCTTAGATACTTTTCATGATCATATCAAACCAATTACACAAACCAATCCAGAGCACCCTTGGCCTTCCTGCTGCTGAACCCGAGGGAGGACAAAGTGGAACCCTCTGGGCCGCCAGGCGTTGAGGGGTGGTCTGGAGGCCTGGGGTCCCTGGCATCACCCTGGGTCTGCGAGATCTCCAGGAGGGGAACGGGGCTTGGGCTGTCCACGGTTATACAGCAGGTCCTTGATCCCTAAATACTCACCCATGCAGCCACTGCTGATGGGCCTCTCTCCGTGCAGGGCCTCGCTCTGGTCCTGGGGTCACGGAAGTGGCCAAGATGGACAAGGCCTCCGTGTCCTGAGGCTTCCTTTGTGCTTGGGGAGAGGCGGGATGTACAGCCAACAAGGAAACAGGTACCTTCATCTCAGCCAGTCTAAGAACCAGAACGGAGACGACAGAGCGGGGCTGGGGCTGTGCACACGGGTGTGCACAGATCTGTTCAATACGCTGCTTTCAGTTCTTCTGAGTGTATGCTCACAAATGGCGTTGCTGACTCGTGTGGTAATTGTATGTTTAATTTTTTTGAGGAACTGCCGTATCATCTTCCACGGTGTAGAGGGATTCATTTTCAACACCAGTCAAACCCTGTCACTCTTCTCTTAACCCCTTCTGGCCCACTCCATTGCACTCAGAGGAGAATCCAGATCCTTCTCTGGCCTTACAGACCCTCAACGTCCTCTTGTGCCCCTCTCCCCGCCATTCTCCAGGCCCACGGCCTCCTGTTTCTCCTTCAGCACTCCTGCTCCTGCTTCCTCCAAGCCACAGGGCCTTTGCACTTGCTATTCTCTCTGTTGGGGATACTCCCGTCTCACCAGCTCAAATCTCACCTGGATTGGCGCCTACATCGCCTCCTCCGAGAGTTTCCTGACCGCTCAGTGGCAGGCGGCCCCTGAGCCCCAGCAGCGCCCTGTCTCATTCCTGTTTCATTTCCATCATTGCACTAGTCACCCCTGCCCCGATTATGGTACCTGTTTGCTTGTTGGTGGCCTGTCTGCCTCTGCCCTGGCCTCCAGAATGGCGATCCTGTGGGGCCTGGCTAGCTGAGCACACGGGCCCCTCGCCTGGGCCCGGGCACGCGGTGGCTGCGGAGCGGCTGGATGAGAGCCCCACTTCTTCTTCCACGGAGGCTCCCTTGCCCCAGCAGGGGGAGGACCCCTGACTGTCTCTCCTTTGAAGCACTTTGCAACCTGTGACCATTAATCAGCCCTGTGTGGCCATTCGTTTTGTGTCCACCGTTGCCTCCCTCCTGTGCGTGCCGGGGGCCAGGCCGCGTCTGCCTGGTCCCTGTGGGCGCCTGGAGCCAGTTCAGAGCCTGACCAGAGAAGGTGCTCAGTAAACCTTCGGAGACTGGGCCCCAAGCATCCTGGGGAAGGCAGGCATCTTCTGCCCAGTGACTCCGAGGAGCCTTTGCTGGCTCCCCGTGTGGTGGCTGCAGTCCCAACCCCCAGGGCTGTGGGGGCCACCGAGGTGCCTGCAGGGCGGGGAAGCAGACCTTGGCCACCAAGGGCGCCCCCTCCTGAAGAGAGGCTGGCTCGGATGGAGGCCAGGACAGCAGCCCAGAGTGGGAGGGGAGCAGAGGCCACGGGCAGGCTGTGCAGCGTGTGTGCCTTGCGGAAAAGTGACGCACAGCAGACGCCCGCCTGAGTGTGTCAGCAGAGGCCTTCCACGCCCCCGGAATCAAGGACATCTGTTGATCCAAATGGAACTAGATGGGGAGAAGCTCCCCGTGCATCGATGCCTCAAAAGGCCTCAAAAATAAGGCTTACTGTCATGGCTTCTGCACCGCCCCGTCCAGGCCTTCTTCTGGTCTCTGTATGAGGCCACCAGGGCAGTCAGCTCTCCAGCCACCTGCTCCCTGATGGTGGCCCACCCAGGGGAGGCTCCTCGTGCACCTCTGATGACAGAACCCAGCACACAGCCCCGGCTCCGGGAAAGGAAACCTGCCGGCTGCTTGGCCTAACATGGGCCTTGCCTACCTGCCAGGTCTGAGCAGCCGGGCCACTCAGGGGAGGGACACACAGCCAGGGCCCCTCGCTCCTCCAGGGCCTCACCTGATGACCCCAGCTCCAGCTGGCCCAAGCGGAAGGGAAGCCTCGGGGAAGACGGAAAGTGACCTCTCAGCCTGTGGCTGGGGCCTGGCTGAGCCCACGTTGTCTCTCCCAGACCCTCCTAGGTGAAGATGGTGGGCCCAGCCCGAAGGGGCCACCCAGCTCCCGGGGGCAAAGGGATAGGATAAAGAGACTGCTCAAGGAGACTCAGAAGACCTGGGTGGGCCTCGTCCCAGCACTACCCTTGACGTGCTGTGCATCACTGGGCAAGTCATTGAAACTCTCTGAGCCAATTCTGCCTCTGTGAAGTGGAGATGATAAGTTACATTTAACCTCACAGGATCACCGTGAGGATTTCAGGAGATCATGTACACTGAGCACTTTATACGTTAAGTGTCACCCAAACGCCCACTCTCACTGTCATCTGGACATCATGGTCTCTTGGGGCCTCAGCACCAGATACGAAGTGGCACTTGGCACACATCCTTCTTGTCTCTACAGCCTCTCCGCAGGACTGGTTTTGTCACGGCCATGTTTTCGGATGAGGAGACAGACTCGGGCCGTGGAGCCCTGGCCCAGCGTCACACAGCTTCCATTTGAATCCAAGCTGACCTTGCACTCGACCCACTGGCCCAGATGACACCCACGGTCAGTGCTCTTCAGGAAACCTGCGTTGAGTCCATTGGCTCAAGAGCCCGCTGCGGGTGCTCGGGAGACACAGGGCAAACCAGAGTCCCTCTCCACAGACGTCAAAGCGGGGGTGCCCAGGTGACGGGCGGGTTACCGCAGGTGAGAGTTTTTGTTTCCAAGCCCTGCCTTTTGAAACCCCAATAGCTGGCACCTAATGGGACAAATGACGAGCAGGCAGTCGCCCTGGCTCATGTGGGGAGCCCTGCAGCACTCCCCCAGCCAGCTCTGGGATGGGCAGCCTCCTTCCCCCCTGGCTCAGGGGAGCCTGGGAAAATCTCACTGTTGGTCCTCGTTGACACATGTAAGAGTGAGCAATGACTGCCTGGAGGATGGGGCTGCGGGTGTTGAGGATGGAGTCTCATTCTGTTACAGGCGCCCCCACACCAGCACAGAGACATCTTTAAAAACTATGATTGACCATCATACCTTTTGTTTTAATCCAACCACCCTCATAACGGCATTTCTGCACCCTCTGTAAATTCACCAGTGGGGACAGAGCCTACCCTGTCCCTGCTTTCCCTTATGAGAGGCTCTCTGTGGATCTACTGAACCTGGAAGACAGAAGGAAACTGGCTCTCCTCCAAAGAGACAGATATTCTTCACTGGACAATGAAAGGCATTGAACTCATTGTTTCCCTTTTTTGCCTTGGCTGCCGGGAAGCTCAGAAGTAGCATTAATACTTAATCCTGAATTCAGGATTCCCTCTTGACTTCATCTTTTGCCTCTAGTGATCTTACTATGCCTGTATCACACATGTATCAAACAGATGCTGGCAGGAGGAAGACTACAGGTTTTAGATAACTCTACAAAGGAAGACCTCCTCAGCACCCTCTCCAAGGCTCTCCCCTGCCGTGGAGTCTGGCCCCTACATTCACCACTTTGGCACTCGAGAGAACCCCACCCCTGTCCTCCACTCAACGGTCGTGTCCTCCACGAGCTGAGCACCCCTCTCCCAGCAGGGCCTGTGCTTCTGCCTCAGATGCTGTGTCTGGCAGCACGCAGGTGTCAGAAAACCTGGGAGAAGTGCAGAGTGAGAGCGAGTCTTCTCTGTGATGGCATGGGGCTCAGCCCTCTCGCGGCCGTGCCTGTTCCCTCTAAAACACGCTTCCCGGGGTGAAGGACTGCCCTCCTCGGGTTCAAAAAAAATGGAGCAAATTTTCCTTTACTAATTTAGTCACATATGACAATAAATCCCAGAAATATGTCTTATGTATATTCCGCATTACCTTTTGCAGACAAATACAAAAACATGGTCAACATTTGCAATAAAATTATCATAGAAATGCCATCTCAAATCTTATTTTCTTTTTTCCAATGTGCATTTCACAAATAACTTGTATTAAAATTATGTTTTACAGAGTAGAAATAGAAAACAAATACCCCTGGTAATTTAAATAGGCATTTGCATAACATGACTAGAACACTTTAGAAAAACGCACAGCATCGGAAAATATGAGTTCAAAAACACTTAAATACAAGTGATTTTAATAAGTCTAATATGAAAAATGCCTTTTGGCTGTATTAATTAGTGAGTTGAAATGTGTTGATCTTGGAATGTTTTCCCGCTGGCAGGTCTGGAGGTGTGTGTCGGGTTCTCTTTCGTTTGTGCGCAGGTCCGCCCCTCATGGGCCCACCGTGGCACTGGCCTGGCAGTGCTTCTGCACGTGTCTGCAGCAAGGTCAAACCTGAGGAGGACGGTGGAATAAGTGTGGCAGTCGCCAAGGGCCTTGGGTGTGTCCCACTTAGGTGTGAAATGGGGCTGAGTGGTTCCCCCACGTCAGAGCCCACAGGCCTGGGTTCCCAGGGGGTGGGCAGGGAGAGACAGAGAGACGGTCTGGCCGGCCGAGCCTTTCCTGCCGCTGCCTGGGCATTGCAGAGCCCGCTCCCTCCCCTCCTTCTCTGAAAGGACTTGCCCGTGCCCTAGAGTTAGCTTGGGCGTGGACCCTTTGTGGGCTGATTTGCTGTGATGACGTGCTGTGGACCCTATCTTTCTACAGGGCGTCTTTGTGCATTTTTTTTACAGTTCTCTTTTTCTTTCCATTTCTGGGTTGTTCTCCAGTTTGGTACAGCAGGTCAGCTCTGAGTGGGTCCCATGAAAGCGATGGCCTTATGGCCACGAAGCGCAAACACAGCTGACAAGCCCCAAAGCCAGGCCACTTGAAGACCGCTGTTTTTCCCATGGAGGAGTCTGCTGCCGCTTAAGGATTCAGGCTCTGTGCAGCAATAGCTCATCAAAAACACGGAAGATGCATATTTATTTCTGCAATTTAGTTGGAATACCCTTCTGAGAACCCGCAGTAGAGGCGCCTTCGGTGCACAGCTTCTGAGCTGTTAAAATTTTCATTCTAGGTCCCCAGGAAACAGTGCATTAAACACGTCGCTGCATCTTCCCCTCGCCAGCTCCCCGCTTGCCCAGCTCTCCCGAGACCTGGTGGGAAAAAGAGAACAAGGGAGCCTTGAGGAATGGTCTGTGAAGGGGGAGGCCCAGCAAGGAAGGTGCTGGAACAAATGGCCCGCGCCCAGCCGTGGTCTGCTCCGCCTAGCGCCCGGTCCTGGGGCGTGCTCTCCATCTGCCCGCCCCACCAACGCTGCCACCAGCTGAGGCCCCTTCAGCTCAGGCGCCTTCTCCGGCCACTCAAGCGGCGTGTGACAGCCGTCACGGACTGTCCAAGGTGGACTTAGGGATCAACCCTGCCATTTGACAGGTGGAGAAACTGAGGTCCGGAGGGGTGGTGACTTGCCTGGTGACAAGAAGCCACGTTCCCTGGCCCCAGGCAGGGCCCTCTCCTCAACGGCTGAGCTGCCTTCAGGAACAGGAGCCGTATCTTTAAAACGATCTTTACTTTAGAACAGTTTTAGATTTACAGAAAAGTTGTTCAGACAGTACAGAGAGTTCCCATATAGTTAACATCTTCTATTACCATGAGGTACATGTGTCATAAAGGAGGAGCCCATGCTGACACATTATTACTAACTACAGTCCACGCTTTATTCAGATGTCCTTGGTCTTTACCTAATGTCCTTTTTCTGTCCCAGGATCCCATCTAAGACACCACATTATGTCGAGTCATCATGCATCCTTAGGATTTTCCAGACTCTAACACTTTCCCTGACCTTCCTTGTTTCTAAGGACCTTGACAGACATGAGGACTCCTGGTCAGGCATTCTGTAGAACGTCCCTCATTGAGGGTTTGTCTGATGTTTTCTCCTGGTTAGACTGAGGGAAGGGTTTCCTGGGAGGAAGACCGCAGAGGTGAAGCGCCATTCTTATCACACGACACTGTCGACGCGACTCGTCACCGTTGATGCTGCCCCCGGAGCACCCGGCTGAGGTCAGGCTTCCACAGTGAAGCTGCTCTTTCTCATCCCCTGTCTCCACACGGTGCACGTGGGGTGGAAGGTGCTCTGTTCAGCCCACACCTAAGGAGTGGGAACTAGAACCCCCCTCCGTGGCTATCTGTGTATCTCTGTAGGGCATCTCCATCAATCATGGGGAATTCTGCACAGGAGCTTTCTCTATTCTCATCCATTTATTTATTTATTTGATAATCATTTATTTCTATCAGTATGGACTCATGGGTATTTATTTTGTAGTTTGGCTTATAATCCAATACTACAGTATTTATTTTGTGGCTCAAATTATGCCACCTTTGGCCATTGGGAGCTCTTTCAGTGGCTCCTGTGTCCCTTTGACTCATTCCCATCATTGTGTGTGTGTGTGTGTGTATTTTGAGCACTTTCTTATTTTCTCATACTCTAAGATGCTCCAGGATCACCTTATATATTTCCTATTCCAGACCCAGAATTAGCCGTTTCTCTAAGGCGCCTTGGCTGTTATTTTTGAGAATGGTAATAGAAACCAAGGGCTGGGTATGAGGTGTGCCGTTATTACTGGGGTGTCATTGCCTCTTGACCCCCTCAGCTGACAGAGCAAGGACCTGTGTGTGTACACTACTCCTGCAAATACCCGGCTCTGTGAACAGTTCCACATGCATCTGTCTGCATCTGTATTAAGCTAGACAGGAGCTCACACTGATGTCCTCAACTCTGCTCCAGTCCCATGGATCATTCTAGCCTGCCCTGCTTGCTTGCTGCAAGGCGTTGACTTTCCAGGTGAAGAGTGAGGCTCTGAGATGGAAGTGACCCGCTCAGTCACACCTCAGCTCAGGAGTGAACAGTAGAGCCCATATCGCACGCCTGGCCTGGCCTGGCCTGCAGCAAAGATGTACCCTCCTTGGGCCAGTGGTTGGAGCATGAGGACCGTGTTTTCCTGGTGAGCAGGAGGGGGTATGGGTGGTCCTGCCCAGGCAGCAAGAGGGCCAGGGCCTCAGGAGGCCGACAGATCAGGAAGTCCCACAGGGGGTCACTGAAAGTTGGTCAGTCAAGAGTCACAGCCCAGGGACGCACACATTTCCACTGTCCCATCACCCTGACCCACCTGGCCCGGAGATGTGGCCCAGGCAAGCCCGCTCTAGCTGATGCTGGCTGTTCCCTGCCCACAGCTCTCATGCCTTAGCGGGCCAGCACACCCCTGCTGGGCAGATGGCCAGACGCAGAGTCTCCACGTCTCATCCCTGCAAAACCTCCACAGCCAGAGGGCCAGGTAACCAGCTCCTCGGGGCCGACAGGATTCAGTCACAACAGCCCGACTCCCCGCCACGGGGCCATCCCGAGGGCTGCGCGAAGCACCTCCGGGCTCGGGGCCTGCAGGCTGCCTGCCTTGTTTGGCTGCCTCTCTGCTCCTTATCCCACCAGCGCTCAGTGGGACTGCCTCCCAAATGAACGACTTACACCACATCCTCATCTCAGGCTCTGCTTTGGGGGGACCCAAACCAGGACCCCAACACCCAAACCAGCCCTTTCTGATTTGCTCTCTGGGGACCAGGCTGCTTCAGGCTGACGGCTCTCTCTCTGCTGCTGGCCGGGCAGAGTGGCTGTCAGAACAGAGGCTCGGGGTCTGGGGCTTCCAGGTGGGCCCAGAGGGGCGGGGGGCTGGAGGTGCAGGTCTGGAGGTCATGAGAGGGTTTAAGCTACTCACCATCTTGCTTGCTCACGTTGGAGAAGTGTTAGGAGTGCAACACGGCCCCCGTGGTCTAGCTGGGGAAGGTTCTAGAAAGGAAGAGGGAGAGATCCGGCTTAGTTCTTTGAACCCTTTGAAAGCCATCCTTCCCACCCTGTGAGAGGGCAGGGACACCACCTGTCAGTGTAGACAGATGAAGCCATGCAAGGTGCCGAGGGATGCTGGAGTCTGCGCTTGCACCTGCAGAGTCCCCGTGACCTCTCCACAAAGCCTCCATCAGTCAGAGGAGCGCTCCGGGGTCCCACGAAGGGCGACGGTCGGCTGATGATAGGTCGAGGTGTGCCCATATGGAGTGGCACACTGGCTGTCCCCCCAACCTGAAGATGAACGGCATTTGTCAGGAAGCTTCCCATGGGCCCGCAAAGATGCAGCTTCTGACTCATCCACACCTCCGCCACGCTCTCGCCTGTCAGAGGCTGCCAGCTGTGCCACCCTGTGCCACCAGCTTCAGAGCCCCTCACCACCTGGCTGACCAGCTGAGCCCCTGGGGGCCTGGCCTGGACCCTCTCCCTGACCTTTGTGCAGAAGTCCACACACACACACACCGTATACACACATGCGTGTGTACACACATGCGGTTACACCCACCCAGCATGCACTAAAACATCCCTTCTGCTTTGCTGTGCAAAGTCTTTTTCCTTCACAGTTGGTCTCTCTGACCAGCCCCACCAGCTCTGGCCCCAGCCCCCAGCCCACAGGTTCCTTTCAGGGGCCTGGCCCCTCTGCTTGTCCTCAGGGCTCTCCAGAGATCGGCTCAGGGCTCCTGTGAGATTCTGCGTTGACTCTAGAAGGGTTCCCAGGTGTCCTGATTCCCACCATCCTCGTGAACTGGATTAGAGAACCCTTAACAGATAAAGCCTGGAGTCCTCTGTGCTTGTCGGACAGGGAGCAATTATGAGCGAGGTCTTAAGAGATAAGTGCAACAGGATGCCCCAGCCAGGAGCTCAAAGGTGGTTCCAGTGAGGCTTTCCAACAATACCCAGCCGCAGGCGGAGCGATTTCCCTGGCTTTGGACGCTGAACTATGAGCCTCTCAGTGAAATCTTTTCATATCGGGATAAGACCTGGGTAGCTCTTAATCCTTTAATTCTACCAGTTGGCCAGGAGCTAGAATTGGATTTGGAACCTAAGGGAGGGAGAGGGGGAAAATGAACAGAGGAATTTAAAACTCTTCCAGGCTGGGCCAGCTCCCTTTTCCTGCCCCAGCCCAGGCAGGGATCATGCCCGCGGGGCAGCTGTGGTCAGGGTGCCCCTGGCCTCCCCTCCACAGAGAGATGTCCAGACTGGGGGTGTCAGGCCGGGGACGCCAGGGATCACTGAGCAGAGGGTCGGAGCCAAGCTGGGAAGATGGGGAGGTCTTTTAGTGAGAGATCCCTTTGCTCATGGGGTAGAGGCGGTGAGGTGCTCCACCCATATTGGCCCCCCAAAAGTAGGGATAATGAAGATCATCTTTGTCATGGGCAACAGACGCTTCTCTGCATCTCTGTGAGTGTTGTACAGAAGCATCTTTGAAGAGTCAATAACCAGGCAAGTGAAAAGTGTGCCCTGGTCACACCCCTGCGGTCCAGGCAGAAGCCCCCACCCTCTAGCCAGCCTTCCACCCCCGCTCCTCCCAACACAGTGCCACAAGGAGCCGCCACTGCCTGGAGCCGCAGCACCTGCTCCCCGGCCCGTTGGCAGCCTCACCCTTGGCAATGTGAGGCCAAGGAGGTCTCCTTCAGAAAGAGGAGTCGGGTGAGCAGGGGAGCGAGTTGGGAGGATGGGCCAGACGTCCCACAGGGAGGCCCTGAGCCCTGAGAGCCTCACGTTGGAGTCACCGATGTGACGCATCTCCCTGGACCGTCCTAAAGCACGTCCCAAAAGCAGAACGGACGCCACGACCATGGCCTTGGGAAAGGCGTCTGCTTCAGGTTTCACTCACTCATTCATTCATTCACTCAGTCAGTCAACAGGTGCGTGTTGAGCTCTGCAGCCGACCCTGGGCTCCGTGCGGGGCAGGGCGAGGGGCAGCTTGGTTCCTGCCCTCCAAGAGACCCAGTGACCAGAGGGGAAACAGGTGGGAGTCGCCAGTTACACAGCAGCATGAGTGCACTGGACAGAGGGAGCACTGGGGTCGCGGGAGCACAGAGGAGTCAGGGGCCCACCCAGACCCGGGGCAGTCACAGAAGGCTTCCAGAAGGAGCTGAGTCCTGCCAGTGGAGCGGGAGCTGCCTGGTGAGAAGTCATCCCACTCTCCGTCTGGATCTTCTCCTTCTCGTCCAGGAGCTCTGGGGAAGAGGGGTGAGGAAGGGACAGAGTAAGAATCCGTCCCTGGATCCCCGGAATAGTAATGAATCAAAAGCCAAGGATTACGACTCTGCCCAGACATTCTAAGCCAGAAACTCAGAAGGGAGGGGGCTAAGATGGGAGCCAGGTCCTCAAACCCAGCAGGGAGACACCTGCCCCAGCGGAGGCCTATGACAGGGAGGTTGAGGAACGGCTGTTCCCCACAGAGGGACAGGTCTGGCCCAGGCCCTCCAAGGCCTAGGATTCAACACACGGACAGCTGCATCCCCACTCACACCACTTGCCCCTCCCCGCCCCAGCCAGCCCCCTACCCCACCCTGCACGCCCACCGGCCCCGGGCCCTGGGGGACCATTTGGGTAAAGGCAGCTGTCCCCCCGTGCTGGTTATTGATTTAATTTCTGTTTACTTCGCTGTAAGCTTAATTTGCTGTGTTAATGGCATTTTAATCCACTTGCCCGTTGCATGGGGCTGATAATACCACACTTTTGTGCTGCAGCAGTGACATTTCTCTGCATCCCGGTCCTTCGGCGGGTGGGGCCAGGCGTCATTCCCGAGAGTGCTCCCCTCCCCTGCCCACGTGTGACACCCACGGCCAGCCTCTGAGGATGGGAGACGTTGCTCCCTGCTGTCTGAGTCTTCAAGAAAGCCCTCTGGAGCGGAGGGGGCTGTCACTGAGCCCAGAGGGACATGGACTGCTCCTGTGGCTGAGCTGTGTGGGGGTTCAGGCAGAGAGAGTGGCCTCAGGGACCCGGGCCTGCCTTGGTCAGACGTGGCTCCCTGGTGGGGGTCAGCCTTGAGCAGGGTCTTTGAAATCAAAGACAGAAACAAGCCGGACCAATTGAGGGATTCCAGAAAAATTTAGCCAAATCTGACTCCTCCATCTGGGGTCAGACTCTCTGTTAGCTGTGTCCGTGCCCTTGTCCCAAAACACCGTCCACCCTCAGGATGGTGGCAGCTTCTGCCTTTCTGTGAGTCATGGACACATAAACAGGGGCACCGTGGGAGGGGTGCCGGCTCGGCCCCAGAAGGTCTGCGTGGAAACCAACAAGCCATCAGTTCCACATCTGGAGAGTGGGGATTCGATCGGCCGGGCCAGCATCCAGACTTGAGGTGACCTAGGCCGTGCTGGGTAGACCCTGAGCCCTGCCCACGTGGTGGTCACTGGGGCAGCGACCAGGAGGGATCCCGTGGGGCAGACCTGGACCTCTGTGATGCCCACGGCCCCGAGGCAGGCAGAGGGCTGCCTTAATCTAGGGTCATGGGCTCTGCACCCGGACTGCTGTCTCAGTGAGCCAGAGATTGGCCCCTGACCCGAGGACCGCCCCCCATGGGCGTGGTGGTGGTGAGAGGGCCGCCTGCCAGCGGGTGCTGTCCCTGGAGAGTGAGCAAGGACCCGCACAGCCTCTCTGTGCAGGAGGGGACGGTGCTTGCGAGCATGTCCCAGGCTGGGCACGGAGCTGGGATCCCCGAGACACGACCGAAAGGTGACAAAGTCAGACGAGGGGGCCTGAGGGAGCATCTGTGAAGCCCCAGGTCCCAGGCAGTGGCCCAGGCACTCTCCTTGTGTTGTTATTGTTAAGCCTTGGAACAATGCCATGGTTTTCTCCTTGTGTGGAAAATGTAAGTGCAGCCCAGAGGAGGCAGGCAGCGCCTCGGGGTCCTACAGCTGGGCCGGCACAGTGGGCAGGACCGGATGTACTTTTCTCCATCTCCCTGTTTGGACTGTGGGGCCCTCATTATAGGTGTATGTGGCTTGCACACACACACGCACACATGCAAACACCAGACACCCACCTACTGCCCAGGTGCTCGGCACTCTGGCAGAGGGGCACTCCCAGGGCTGGGGCCCAGGCCGCCCCTGGTGGTGTCACTGCTCATTGAGGTACATAGCCTGTAATGACTCTGGGCATCTCCGGGATTAATGGCCCTCAGCGACACCCTGGGCCATTAGGCACCAGGAAGCCCCACACCTCAGCGGCTCCTGCTCAGGTGGGAGAAGTTAGAGAGCTAACAACAGTGTCTAACAAGGAGGGCAGTCTCAGGGGAGCGCCTGTCTGCGCTGGTCGCCAGCTCCGGCCTGAGGACGAAGACTGTGGTCAGGGCAGGGTCGCCACCTTCCCAACCCCTCCCTCCCTCTTCTAGAGGCTTCTGTTTGGACTTTTCCTTTGGAGTGTTCATGTGTGTGTGTCTGTGTGTGTCTGTGTGTGTCTGTCTGTGGGTATCTATGTGTGTATGTGTGTCTCTGTGTGTCTGTATATTTGTGTCTGTCTCTGTGTGTCTGTGTCTCTGTGTGTCTTTCTGAGGGTGTCTCTGTGTGTGTGTCTCTGTATGTCTGTACACCTTTGTCTGTGCGTATCTTTCTGTGGGTGTCTGTGTGTGTCTGTGTCACTGTGTCTCTGTGTCTGTGGGTGTCTATGTGTGTGGGTGTCTGTGTCTGTTCCTGTGTCTCTGTGTCTGTGAGTGTCTTTCTGTGGGTGTCTGTGTGTGTGTGTCTGTGTCCTTGTGTCCCTGTGTCTGTGGGTGTCTTTCTGTGGGTGTCTGTGTGTGTGTGTCATTCCGTGGGTGTGTGTGCGTGTGTGTCCATGTCTGTGTGTGTGTCTTTCCGTGGGTGTCTGTATGTGTGTGTCTGTGTCTGTGTCCCTGTATCTCTGTGTCTCTGTGTGTCTTTCTGTGGGTGTCTGTGTGTGAGTGTCCCTGTGTCTCTGTGTCTGTGGGTGTCTTTCCATGGGTGTCTGTGTGTGTGTGTCTGTGTCTGTGGGTGTCTTTCTGTGGCTGGCTATGGCTGTGTGTGTCGCTGTGTCTCTGCATCTGTGGGTGTCTTTCTGTGGCTGGCTATGGCCGTGTGTGTGTTCGTGTGTAAGCTCTCCCAGTCTCACCTCTGGAACGTCAGTGCCTCCTTGCTCTGCCTCGTGAAGGAGTGTCCCCTCCGCCCACTGACGGCCCCTGGTGGGGGGGGGTGCTCCTCTGGTGACCACGCTGCATCTGGACCTCCCTCCACTTCCCTTTCCTGCTCCAGTTTGCACTTCATGCAGCCCTGCATTCCACATGCGTTTCTGAGCACTTACGGAGCGCCACGTGCCCTGCGAGGCCCTGGGATTGGGTGGAGCCTGAAGCTGAAGAGGCCCTGCCCTCATGAAGCTTGCAGTCTAGAGCGGGGAGATACGGAAGGACCGTTAACGCCAGAATATAAGGAAAGGTGCTTCCCAAAATCGTCCTTTACAAAATGGGGAGTGGCCTTGCTCTTGAGTCTGCAGTTTCCTGCCATGTTGCCAGCTCTGTTCTCCCTTACTTTCTGCTTGAACGTAAAGGCAAGACATATTAGTCCCACAGGGCTTCAATCGATGCTAATTTTGGACGCTCATAGAAGTCACCCGATGGCATCAGTAAAAAACCAAAAAGGCAAAGAAAATGAACAAAATAATAATTATTCCTGGGGAGGCGTGATCTTGCACTTGCAGGCACTCAGTGCTGTCAGGAAGCAGCCTTTAAGGTCACATAGAAAGTGATCTGGGGGGCCAGCCCGGTGGCGCAGTGGTTAAGTTCGCACGTTCCGCTTCTCAGCGGCCCGGGGTTCACTGGTTCGGATCCCGGGTGCGGACATGGCACAGCGGACATGGCACCGCTTGGCACGCCATGCTGCGGTAAGCATCCCACATATAAAGTAGAGGAAGATGGGCACAGATGTTAGCTCAGGGCCAGGCTTCCTCAGCAAAAAGAGGAGGACTGGCAGTAGTTAGCTGAGGGCTAATCTTCCTCAAAAAAAAAAAAAAAGAAGAAAGTGATCTGGAAAGTGGTCATTTAATGGCCAACACATGGCAAATGTGCTCAGGGCTTTGGACACAATTCTTGACAGCATCCTTCGTGGATTCAAACCGCCCGCATCCCACAGATCAGCGGGGCAGGCCTGAGAAAGCGGTCCTGAGGTGGAAGGCACCGAGGGTGGAGGTGCCCGTGAGAGTTTTGAGACAGTTGATCCCTGGTGTGGGAGAACAAAACAGTGTGCCTACATGAGCTCAGAGCATGTGTTTTCAGACAGGTGTTGCAACATAATAACTGCTACAAGGAGGAATTGAACTATTTTGACTATATCCTTAAAAATCTAAATATGCAAGCAGGACCCCCCCCCCCCAGAAAAAGTTCTCATCCTTTCATTGGGAAAATAGGGGGTCTTCTTGTATTCAGATATGAAGGCACAAACAGTAATTACATAACAAGTTATTTAATTAAAACAGTGACACATGCTGCCAAAGAGAAGCGCAGGGCATTCTGAGACCC